GCAGCCCCTAAAACTGCAAAATGGGCGGAGTGACCACCTCTGGATCACATATCACGTACCTTCCAGAGCGGATTTCTCGCTCCGAAAGCAATCTTTTGCGTGGAAACTTGGGGGTTGGCCTAGTGTGGGGACCCACATTAGTATGCCATCGAATCTCGTGAACACTCACTTTGGGTGGACGGTGCCTTTGAGAGTTCTAACTCGAAACTTGTGCTTTTACATCTCTGCTGTTACCTGAAGCTATTGCAGGAAGTGAATTGGCTAGAACATTCAGTTTTTGAATGGAACGTCTAATTTTTGCTTTACAAAGCTTTTATTATAGCGCTAAAAAAGAATAGGTATTATTGTTACTTTTCCACTCGTTCGAAAATTACACATAATTGAAATCTGATGCTTCACTTTTGTTTGCTTCGAGAATGTTGGTATGACATTAGCACATACACTCGTAGAACATTTTTCCAGAATGACAAGATTTGGTTCCATCTACTTCGTTTTGGTAATAGTCCTAATGGTACGTTCCAATATATCCTGTAATCATATAATCTAAGTTAATTTTTGAAGGCATTCATTCTGATTATCGAAAGCGACGCTCGTGGATGGGGTAGAGGACGAAGCGGGAACTGGAGAGTTACGAGTATGCCTGTGCAAGATTCGCCACCATTCCGTAGATTTGGAAAGTAACGTCAACACGTGGATGAAGAAAAGGAGGAGGAAAATTTCTTTGCGATACTTTTTAATAAAGATTGTGCAGAAGAGTTTGGAAAGCATCAAGCAGTATAACAGCAGACGTAGCAGTCAAAATGAATGAGTTTTATATTGGTTCTGCTTTGAGATGCTGAGCTTTGCGTGGCTTGATTTGGCTACAAAATTTTTACATAAAGGACAAATGCACAAATTTTGTACAGAAGCTTTTCCTCAATAGTCTACAATTGATAATAAATTGAGGTGGCATTAGTAGCTAACAAGAGGACGTCCTAAGTCTTGTTGCAGCTTGCACCACCTTCAAGCTTCCATCTAGTAACTTTGCTTCAATTGCTTGGCTTATATATCTTAAGCTAATGATTTCAGCATAAATCATTGGCTTAGCTACCAAAAGAAATTTTTTTCCTAGGCGATAAGGCGCTAGAAATAAATGACTGCATTTGGTCGATTTGTAAACTTTTAACGTGAAAATTTGAAAAGATTTCTGCTCGGGGTCATAGCTCATAGCAGCCACTGTCAATTCGGTAATTAAGTTGAATTTACCTTTATTCTTTTTTATGAAGTTTTTTTCCCATACTGATTCTACATGAAAAAAAGCTTTTGGAATGTATAGTGGTTTAGATTTCATTTGTGAAGTCAACATGAGCGAGGAGATTAAACTATGATTATGCAAGACCGAGGAAGGCATAAATAGTAGAATGCATTGGTATAAATACAGCTAGCTCCTCGTATGAATCCTAGGTCATAAATTGCGGCTGATTAATGCAAAAAATAGCATTACACTAATTCGTTGACGTTTTAAAATATTCGATGATTATTATTCGCTTAGTTCAGGATGTATGACAAAAAAGGCTATTACAATATGCTTGCGTACCGTATTTGATCGAGCCTTAAGAAGGTGTTGTTTTCAATAGTATTCCGCTTCGAGGGAACTAATCAGGGCCCGGCACGCGGTTGGCAAAAGGGGTTTTGCCCACCGCAAAGAAAACGAATTCCAATTTATCCCCTAAGATTTTCCGAATACCCTTTTGATTCAAAAAGATCCTTGTGTTTGTGCGGTGAACAGTTCAAGAAGAAAAAACTTCTAAAAAAACTTCTTCTAAAAACTTCTCAAGACAAAATAGAAAAAAACAGTGGAGATCATTCTAGGTTCCACAATGAGGTCAACATGAAAAAAAGCTTCTATGCACCGACAGCTTTGAGGGAGGAGGGGAGGGGGTGATCTTTGCCATTTGTATGTTCACAATATATGCGATCATCATACCTCTCACCCTTACTCTAATTTCACCTCAATCGTATTCAATTGCCAATTTATAGGCATCACCTGATTGCGAACAACTACATGCACCAAAAACAGTGGCTTAACAGTGTGCAACCTGAAGCGGGCGAAGAAAAGTGTACAAGAGAAAGAAAAAGCCAAAAGGAATGACAAAATAACAAAGCAACGCCGATTATATTAGGTTGTCCCGAAAGTTTTGTCGGTTTTTTCAAACCACTGTAAAACCACGCACAATAAAGACCTGAGTGTGTTTCATGCATTCGATGCAGCTTTTCCTTCTCTTTCTTATGGATACACATTCATACCGTAATCTTGTATGCTTTTTTGATAATTGCCAAAATTCTCCATCTGTCAATTTTACCTGCTCAAAGTTGAGCTGATTTTTAAAAATTTCATTAACAAGTATCGAAAAAGACTAAGTATGGGTCAAGGTGGTATTCTTAGATTCTCCTAATATGCTGATTTTAACTTCAAAAAATTATTTCTCCGGAGGCTTTGGTTTTTAGCAAAGTCATGAAACGCACAACTGCAATTGCGCGCAAAAGCATGAAAGCTTTTGAGTTTTTGCGAATTTAAACTTGTTTGTTATTAAACATCATTTATGCAACATAACCGAGTTTGGTTTGCTTCAAAAATCAGCTTTTTGGAATTTTCGGTAATTTACGTGGTAAAACGTGTTCAAAAAGCCGCTGTTTTTCTCAAATAAATAATTATTACGGATTGATAAACGTGGCTCACGTAATCTAAAATGAATACAATGTAGCCAAAGGTTTGCCCTACATAACAGTCACCAGCGCTTGTCGAAAATATCAAGATAAAAATTTCGAAAATTCAGGAAAATTTTGGCGCTACTACTGAGGCTCAAAAAGTCATTGCGATAACGTCGCAAAGACGGGATAGGTCAGGGAACATATATAGCTATAAGAAAGAGGACAAAAAAATGAATAGAATGACACCTAGGCCGTTCATGGATTGGTGTTCTGTGAGGTTTGGTGAGCGATGAAAAAAAAACCGACAAAACTTTCGGTACAACTTAATATAACTGAGTGATGTTTTTCTCGCGCATACTGATTGGAGCGCGCTTTCCTTCATAGAAAGCGGGGCTGCTGATGCTATTCTGGGCTCTGGCAAGAGGGGAGGAAAAGTTTTGTAACCAAAATCTTACCCAATAGTGAACTTTAGGTGTAGAGATTTATGTGAAAATTTCAAAACTTGTGTGTTTTGCCCACCTGAGGTGGGCATTATGTGGGCAAGACTTTCCCAAATTAGCTGTGCACTTGCCCACCTAATTTGGAAAAAAGTTAGCACGTTCTTCATTCACATAAGCTGTAATTTTTCATACTTTGTTCCTTAGTCCCACTGCGTAAACGCAGGCCAAATTTCGTGCCATATCGTTATCTGTGCCTTGCAAACGAGTCATTTTTCCATGTTTGATAGTAGAAAATTTCTAAAGAAAGCTTGCCACAATCTTCACTTACACAATTTTTCTTATGAATCTTCCCAGTTAACTTCTACAGGCTCGCGTCCAACATACGTATTGAGTTTGGCACCTCCACAACCTGTTATTTGCTTTGCATATGAGCCATTCAAATTCACATCTTCACTTACCAGTTTTGAGAAATTATTTGAAGGAATGCTTAGCACACCTTCCATTCACATAAGTTTTCCATAATTTTTCATATTCTGTTTCCATTAGCTTACGTTCGTTTAAACAAAAAATTTGTTGCCACGGCATCGGTCAAGCAACGTCGCGCGCGCGGCATATGGCGACTGCGCGGTGTGAACTCTGCTGTGCTTTGAGGCTTACAAAAATTACTTTCTAAAAATTATACAGAGTGTCCCAAAAAGATGTGCACACTGTTTGATTCTTAATAACTCTCTTGCATTCATATCTTTTACCGAGCTTGAAATACCATTGTGTAGAGCGAGGTTCAACTTAGATTTACAGTATAAAGCGATTCAGCGATCGCTCTTCAGTACTGTAAGATTACGGTATGAAGTTTTAGCATACAGCGTCCCTGGAGAATAGGCCTTTGATGAAATAATTTCGAAAAAAAACTGAAAAATTGTGTAGCAAGGTTTTCAGGCCTGCTGACTTCACTACATGACTTTTCAACAGTTTTGCGAGCTTTCTCGATGGCGTATTCACATTTCTGACGAACATTGGAAAAGTAGTTGCTACCCTAAATCTGAAGCAACTTATCAAAGGAGCAACTAAACAATCTTAATATGAAACTTGCACTGAAGTGCAAGTTTCATATTTAGATTCAACGACTTCGAGTGGACCACTTCAAAATTTTGTGGCTTGTTTGGCTTTCTTTTTGGGGCAAAATACTGGCAAAAAACCGCTTTCAATGGCTCGATATCCTCCTCGAAGTTCCTACCGTAATTTTACAGTAATGAAGAGCGATCGATGGTTCTCTCTATATTACGAATCTAAATTGGACCTCGCTCTACAGAATGCTACCTCAACTCGGCAAAAGACATAAAAGAAAGACAGTTATTAACGATTAAATAGTGTGCACATCTTTTTGGGACACACTGTATTTCTAAGGTGATAAGTATAACTTCACCTCCTTTTGCTTGCACTTAAAATCTTCTGCCGAGACTCCGCCCCAGACCCCTCAAAAGATTTCCTCTTTGCTTTCTGATTTCAAAACAATTTCCAGCTTATCATTACCCTACCTCGTGCCGGGTCTTGGACCAATCAGGGTAATCAAATACAATATGCTAAAATTTCTTAGTTAAATTCCTCGGTTCTGGATATCCATATGCTATGGGCTTAGTCAAGGCCTTCAGATCAGACTACGCTCAAAAACCTAGGCACCAGATTGTTTGGAAATTGCATTCAATATTGTGTATGATCGCACGCATGACTGAATTTGAAGTGATTCTTTTCTTTTATTTGTTTATGTAACAAAGAGATGTTTGACGCTTTTTCTACTAGTGGTATTCCTTTAAAAAAAACTTGTAACTTTATTTGAAGGCTGTAACTGAGGGAATGAAATAAAAAATTCAATTAAATTTTCTTTTTCTTTTCTTGACAAAGAATCTTTACAGTGTCTTCCAAAAGTTGCAGATCCAGTTGCTGAAGTAAAGGATTGATTACGAGGTTGAAAATGAAAACAACACGCGGACAAACCTCAATAATGTTCTCCATTTCAAAGTTTACCATTTTTTTGATACGTTCGATTTGATCAGGATCATATTCATTCGATGTGAGCATCGTTCTCGGACCAACAGGAACATAAAGAAGTTGAATTCCTTTTTTACGTAGCTAAACAGTCCTAATTTTGGAAATCTCACTTTTTCTGATTCGCGAAATTATTGTCTCATTCTAAGCGCCAATCGTCGTGAACGTACCCAGTTTTCTAATTGTAAGAAATCGCAACGCTTAAAACTCACAAAAATTCAAATTAGAGGTGATGCTTGATTTTCTTTTCTTTCAAACTTCTGCGTAGTTGATGTATTGCGTTAGCATGTGAGTAGGCTAAGCGATACCCACATACTATTACACTAAGATTAGACTTTTTGTTTTTAGAGTTTGTCGCTTCCTTCCTGCCCCTCCCCCATATCCTCCCCCTTCAAATTTTTTTCGCAGTGCCATTAGCACTGTTGAAACATTACATTTATTTATTTATTTATTTATTTATTTATTTATTAATATTAGGTCATTCCGAAAGTAATTTCGCTTTTTTTTTGAACGGACGCCACATAAGATGGAACAAAGATTTCTAAGAGAACTTGGTAGCATTCGATGCAGAATTTCTTCCTCTTTCTGAGAATTATAAAATTATTGCAGCATAGTCAATGAGCTTTTAAAAAATTACGAAAGTCTGCGATCCATGCTTTTTGAGATGCTCAAGTTTCCCAATTTTTCTAAATTCTTACATTAACCCTCCGAAGAAGCTCAAGTGACGATTCGATAGAGCAAACCCCATAGGATGTGGCCTGACTTTTTTCTCGCTTTTATATCTCGCCATGATTTCTTAAAAGATTTATTATTGAAACCATCGAATTTTGACAGGCCTACGTCAGCCAAATTCGCATCAAACACCAATAAGTCTTTGGAATTTGAAACTTCCAAGATGGAGTTACGATTTAACACCAATTTTGCAAAGCGAATGGGGATTTAGGAAATCGAAATTTCTAATTTCGAATTTTCCGGGTACAGCCCAGAACGCATTCGAAAGTATGAATTATGATGATTTTGTACGCAAAAACTTCATGAAAGGGAAACAAAAAACATCTATTAGAAAAAGGAGATCAAGCTGCATTGAATGACACTCGAGCTGTTAAGCGTTTGATGTTCTACGATGTTTGAGTTGACCAAGAATGGAAATCGGTAGCACCAATCAAAATTCTATTAACAAATTTTGAGGAGTTCTGTGAAGGAGGAAAAAATCGTTTTGTACCTTGTAGGGTTTGCTCTATCGAATCGTTACTTGGACCGCTTTGGAGGACTGATGTACACATTTAGAAAAATTGTGAAACTTGAGCATCTCAAAAAGCATGGGTCGCAGGTTTTGGTTATTTTCTGAAAGCTCTATGATTGAGCTGCAAATATTTCACCACTACTGGAAAGAGAATGAAATTCTGCATCGAATGCTACAAAGATCTCTTAGAAATATTTGTTCCATCACATGTGGCGTCCGTTTGAGAAAAGCGAAATTACTTTCGGAATGACCTAATACACTACTTAATCGTAATGTGCCATTATACAAAGAAAATCATTACATTACTACAAGACAGGAAATTGCATATTTAATACTAAAGACTAGAATGCATTTAACTTTGAATCTACACTTCAAAAACTCTCGCACATAATTTGTTGATACAATATCGGATAGATATAATATATTACATCATTCATTCTTAAAGACTGTTTGAAGAAAAACTCCTTTTCTAGAAAATCACTTGCCAGGGGTTATCCGCAACGCTGAATCCGAAAATCCACACTAGAAGGCGCGAAAACGGTGAGGACATGCGTTTTCCAAAGCCTTACAATTTGAAATTCGACCGTCCACTCCAGGCAGAGACGCAAAGTCCCTACGAGACCCTATAATTTGACAGTGGCGGCATGCGTACTCTGCCGCCTACAATTTGAACAAATCGGAGCACCCTTTCCCCCAAGTCGTAAGTTTCTCCACTTTCTGGTTATTTTTCTTGCTTTCTTGCTTCAGGTCAAGCATTAAGGCATCGCACTTGCGCGATGTTGCGTCCGAGGAGGGCCACTTTCGCATGGCGCTGAAATTCCAAACCTCCCAACTTGCCCTGCCCTAACACTGCCTTCAAGGGAAGGTTGTCAAGTCAGAGTGAACGTTTGAAATGAGATAATACTTTTTTTCTCTCGTCCCACAAAATCTTTTGCTTAGTTTCTGAAGAGCAGGCTTCAGCTTAGATTTACAGTATGATCGATGTTGATAATTGTGAGATTACGGAAAGTTACGGTAGAACTGCCAGGATACAGCGCCATTGTGAAATGGCTGTATGAGAATAAAATTTCAGAAAATTTCGGAATTCGTTTAGCAGCGTTTCCAGACATAATGATTACATCAGATGATTCTTTGAGTTTTTTGAGCGTTTCAAATGGTTTAACCACAATTTTCACATGAAAAACTGTGTCGATGGCTCTCAGGCCTTACTGTGGCCTGAGGCGGAGTGCCTCTAACTCAAAAGTTTTGAGCTTCCTTGAACGGACGACCTGCACTTATTCGCGGAATGAAGGTAGAATGTGGGTTCTAGGCGTGGCAATAACATCACATACATTTGAGCTGCTCATACAGCAGGTCATGCATGTGCATGATCTTTAGAATGTTCTACTTATAGAAGTGAAAGAGGTGCCGAATCTATCAGCACACTACGGCTGGCCCACTTTTAGAGATAATGGAGCTTATCAAATGCAGTGTCGCTTGCAACGCATCTCCATTCCCTCACTGGCCTCTGCATCTCTTTGCGAACATGCTCTCTGATCAGTTTCCTAGAGCGAGCGGGGGAAAGGCGGAGCCTCAGTCGACTGGAAGTGATTAGAGAGCATGTTCGCAGAAGAGACGCAAAGTCTAGCTCGGGAGTGGAGATGCTGATGGAATCGACACTGCGTTTGATTAGCCCTGTACCAAACAATCTGCTCCACTTCGCCATCTCTGCTTTTTCGTTGATGAGTAAGACGGAGTGCTTTGGCTATGTCGAGATCGGCGATGTTCGAGCTGCCGGTCAAAATGAGCAAGATTGAATGAAATGTTGAGATTAGTATATAGATTGCATACTGTTGATTTTCGAAACGTTCATTCCTGAATGGGAGTGCAACATGCTTTTATCTACGGAGTGGGCTTTCTCTACCTTCGCAGTAGCCGTAGGCGACATGACCTGCCGGACGCGTTAGCCGCAGATAAGGTCTTGTTTGCATTATGAAGGTCTCAATCCTAAGGCCTGATCTCTTACTTTTCATCGCTATCACAGTGAAGGTCCCAGGATTTCGGACCGGGGATGATGCGGCGAAAAAATTTCAATGAAGGTGCGTGGCGTTAGCCACGCACTCCACGAAATTTTTGGGGTGCTTTTCAAAATTTTTGCGGGTCCCCAACCCCCACGCCCCCGAGAAAAATTTTTTTATAAGGCTAATTTGAATTTTTGAAAATTTCTAAAAATTATTTTAATTATTTACAAGAGACAAGAGACAAGTCATTGCACAATTTTATAACTCACGTAAGTAATTTTCAAAGATTTCGAGACCCATTCTCGAGGGGGGGGGGAAGGCGCCTTCCCCCCCCCCCTCGGTCCGCCACTGCTATCACATTCTTCAGCTTCGTATCTGGCGATAGTTTCGCTGCTACAGAATTCTGCTTCAATCAATCGACAGCGAGGTGGGCTGTTTTCAATAGAGATTTCTTAAATGCGGAGAGTTTTCATGATGTTTTCTCTGCTTGCTGGAAAGTTGCGGGGTTTGCTCTTCTCTCTTGTTTCTCCGTATTGAGCGGAACCTTCTAGATTGACTCTAGACTGTTCTATCTGACATTCCACTATCGAGTAGCGTGTTAACGAACATTGCGGTCTCAACCAAAGTTTGAAAGTGCCTGACGTTCTCGGTGTGGCTAGCTCCTGCATCACAGTTTTCCATGCTTCAATCGATTTTTGTTCGCAAAGTGTGCGCTCGCTTAAACTTCCATAATTATCGATATACGCAAATAATAGACCCATATCTTTCGTCGCAGTTGTTCATCATGTAATACCTCTGCTGCGTTCAAGGAAACGCAGGGAAGAGGTGAGTGTTGAACTGGTGTATAATGTTCAACTTCAAGGGCTAGCGATAAGCTCACGTCGCGTAGCTTGCAATTTTTGTTTCTCAAACTCAGTTCTATTTCTAAAATGTCAATAAGCTTACATCGATCCATTCCAATTTTTTGCTGTGTTAAGGAAGGTTCGTAAATAAGAAATTACGAACACTAAAACATTAGACCTCAACAGAATTCTGCTATTTTGAGTTGCAGGCAGATCATAAAATTATTAGCATTGGCGACAGACTACCACAAGATAGAGCTTCAAAACTGAGTGCTCAACTCTTGTAAGGTGGGATATTTCCGATTTTACAATGCAGATGTGAAAGTAATTTTGTAAAACGAGTAGCATCTTTTCTACCTTGAATATATAACATAAGAAAAAAGGTGAAAACTTTGTTTAGAGAAAGAAGGCAGAAAGGCAAGATGTGGAGGCAAAAAATGTGCGATGTGCGACATCAAAAGGATCTAAATTCTCGCTGAGCCTACAGTGCTGGACAAAATTGTAGGTCCACTCTAAAAAATGCCATAACTCACTCTGTTGTCAGTGTGATTCCAAAATCTGGCGCAGCCGTGTGTTTACCAGCCTACCATCAGTCATCAAAACGGTCTCGATTTCGTTTGGTTATTTGAAAAAAAATCTGAAATTTTGAAAAAGGCAGGCTTGAAGACTGGTCAAAATTATAGGTCCACCTGAAATTTATACTGACTGAAGCACTTCCTAGCTTCCGAATATTTGGGGCAGGTACACATTTAAAAGTGTTAAACAGCTGCTTTGGTCAAGTTGTGTCGTACCTTCAAAAAAAAAACCGATTATCTGCTTTTCTGCCTTGAAAATGCTTTCACGTATATTTCGCTCCAGAAACCTGCTTTGAGTAGGAAATTCTGCGGTTTTCAGCTCGATTAGAAGCGACGGGGTTTCTTCTACTTTCTGGATGCTTTTTGACGTGAGGATTAAGGAAAAAATCTGACTTTTTTGCAGCTGAAGCAAATCGACATCGAT